CAGGGTCAGCAGCACGCGCTTGAGCAATCTCCTCATTGGGCAGGTGCTCACGCCTCGCGGCTGCAGGCGACAGAAAAACTGGCGATGTGCTAGAGTGTCGGCCTGTCGGCACAGGGTCGCGCCCCATCGCTTAGGTATCCAGGCGCCTGCATTCTATCTCGCGCCCAGCAGCCCCCCCGAGAAGCACGCGCAGAGGTGGTGCTTCTCCCTAGTTGTCGTGCGATTCGCTTGCAACGTGCGTCGTAGAGTATCTGGTGACCCTCGTGTATCAAAGTGTGGCGAGGCCTGCGCCATGCGGCGCTCATGGGCACGCTGCGCTCCTTCTCCCGGAGGCTTAATGACCATGGCGGGCGAGGAGTAGAGGAGGTCTATGACGTAACCTCTCTCTTCGTGCTAATGCGAAAAAACTTGGGGCACTCCAACCGGCGCGGGGCCCCGAGAGGCCCCCCCACCCGGATGGCGTGAGATCCAACTCCCAAGACTCCACGGTGGCCCCCACGATCTGGATGTGTTCCCTGGAAGAGGAAGGCGAGGTGCTAGGCTGGGCGGCCGCGCGCCGAGTGCTAGAGGCCCATTTGGAGCGATGGGGCGACCGACTGCATCCACGCGGGGTCGCCGTGAAGCACTAGCTTCGCGGCGGGCGATGCTCCGCGATGTGCGGGGCTGCGGCCCGCGAGCAGGGCGCGCTGCATGGCCTCGGGCCCCGCGTCGGGGAGGCCGAGGACCATGGCTCCTTGGCCACGAACGCCTAGTCTATAAATCTGAAACATTCTGGGCGTGCGACGCGGCAGTTTACGACGAAAAGGTGACGGCAGACGATGACGTTTACGCATCGCCAGAACACGTTGCCGCCGTTTACCCAGCCCCCCTCTGCGCCCCCCCTGCCTCGGTGCCGGGTCCGCGCCCAGCCAGACGACGTTCGATGCCCTCGAGTGGGGCGCGGCATCTAGCCTGCGGGCTGAGCCTGGCGTCGAGGCGAAGGTGACTGCCTTGTCGTGCGCAACGCGAACATTCAAGCCACGCTGGAAGACACCCTTGAAATCGCGGCCTGCCCGTGTAAGTACCGCTGGAATCTCGCCATCCCCCCCGCGCGACACCGCCGCGTCGTCGTCGACGTAGGGGCCGAAGACTACCCGGGCTTCCTGAGGGTGCAATGGTCAAACTCAAACATAGCGCACGAAAACATCGCGGCATATGTCGCCGCTGGGGGCCCCGGGGTTGCATGGGGGCCCGAGGAGAGCAGTTGCGGCCCAGGCGAAGTAGCCGAGGCCCACGCCAGAGGTTATAGGGGGTCTTGATGAGCACCGCGCGGGGCCCCCCGTAGGCCGCGCGATCGCGGAGCCAAGCCAGCACGAAGGTCTCATAATACTTCAAATCGTCCCAGATAAAACCTGCAGTGGCCTTGCCTCGAAAAGAAGCCCGCTCCGCTTTGATGCTTTGCTGCCGAACCGCGGCCTCCAAGCTCGCGCCGTTGCCACTGGCCCAGTGAGGCCGTTGGCCCGCCCGAGAAAATCCTCGATTTGGCTCCGGCGGGGCCGCGACCAGATGCGGGCGGGAGCACCCGGCGACAAGATCGGCCGCGAACCGCCTTTGGGCTTCTCCAGGGAGGGCATCGGCATCCGCAATAGCTGGGCCGGGGGAAGACCTATCCGCTCCGCGGCCCCATAGAGCATCGCCAGGATATCCAGGCCCTGCTCGCTCAAGCTGGCGAAGGGGCGCTGGCAGAAACCGCCCGGCGACTGCGACGTCGCATGGCCTGTGCGCAGAGAGGCCCATCGTAGTTCTTCTGGTGGGGCTCGCGGGAAACAATCACGATTGGGCACCCGGGCCGGGGGCGGCCCGCATGCGGCGTTCCAGAACTTTCCGAGCAGTTGGGTCCCAGCGACCAAGCGTCCGCCGAATAGATCCCCAGCGAGCTCTGGGCAACTGTGAGGGCCCAAACTTTTTGGACGCGAATGAACTTGCGCATCAAACGCGCAGGGCCCTGGGGCGCTTTCGTGGACCACTCGCCCTGGTACTCCCGAGATGCCCTATCCCTGGCCGCCGCCGCCTCGTCACAGTCTGCTGCCCGGGTATCCTCAAGGAGCTGGCAGGCGCTCTCGCGCTAGGCTTGCTCGACGGGTCGATCTGCGCGCCGGGCAGGCGCGACCTCGCGCGTCGCGCGCAGGGGCGCGCCCTGGCGGGCGCCCGAACCCTCCCCCGGGCTGCGCGTTGCAAAAATACCTGCAGCTGCTGGCGCGCAACCTCGTCGCGCACGGGCGCCTGCGCCGTAGTGGCAAACTCAGCAAACGAATGGGCAATCCATATCCGACCTGCGATGATCCGGAACTTATCAGATGGGTCCTTCGGGCGGTAGAATATCGATGCCCAAGATGGCTTAATCGTCCTACTCCTCTTGCCTAGCTCACGATGTTCGACTCCGAGTACGCTGATGAGCTCCACCTCGGCGCAGTAAATCACATGTGCCCAGTCCTTCGTAAGAACTTGCAACGCGAGGCGAAAGCGGGCGTGGGGCGCGCGAGCTATAGCATGAGCAGCGCGCGCCAGAGCGCCTCGCCACTCTGCAGACCTCGGCCCAGGGCCAGAGTGGGGCTCGAGCGGAAGGCATGAGTGGGGCCTGTGCACCAGCTGCTTCAGCCCCAGGAAGCCACTCTTGAATTCCAATCGAACGGGGCGATGCGGCTTGACTTCCCGTCGCAAGCTAACGGCAACACCATTGACAAAACGAGCCATCCCAGGGCCCAGTGCAAAGAAGTCGATCGCGCTGCTCGGCGCGGGCGACCGGCGCGTGGGGGCCACGGGGAGACGCGATCCGCATGCCGAGCTCTCTGGGGAAACCTGCCTCCTCGAAGTGCTGGGAACTCGGACTCCAATCGCCTCCGACGATGGCGTGAGCGAGATCCGCGATGGACCGACGCAGAGCTTTCAGGATGTCCAGGTTGGCCTCGCTGAGGCCCTCCGCCGACTCCGCGCAAACCGAGCGCAGCGAAACTGTGGGTCATCCGGGGAAATCGTTCAACGCTTTGATCAGTCAACGTGACCAGATGCACCCGTCGTCAGCCTTCTCACAAGGCCATCGGAGCCCCCGCAGACAATCGCGCACAGATTGCGGCCCCGCTCGGTAACTCGCCAGTGTCGGGCTTGAGGCGGGCAGGCAAAAAGAGGGCACGCCAGCCTAGGCCGCGAGCTGTCGCGGTGGCCTGGCCAGCAAACTCGGGGGGTGCGCCCACCTCCTGGGCACGCAACACGACCGAATCCGTCTCGACCATACGGCGCCTGAAGGTCGATCAAGATGACGCGTTGAAAATCTCATTATGGAGCGTTTCACCTGTCTACGTCTGCTTCGGTGCCCCTTTCCGGGGCGGGGGGGGGGTCGCCGACCTGCGGCAGGAAGAGGGGCTCTAGAAACCAATGGGGCAGGCAAACCAAACGTAGTACCCACACTTTTGCTTCCTGATCCGAATGCCCATCTCCTGGAGCAGAGCTGTGCAATCCTTGGCGTGATCTTCGCCTTCCTTCCTTTCGTGCCGTGGCAAGTAAACGCCGCTGAATGTCGATTCCCTCCAAACCCACACCCGTGTCATCAGATCCTGGGACAATGCGGGCCTCGCCACCATCGGCCCGGTCATCGAAGGCCTCGGGGTAGCGGGCAACTCCGCAGGAGGGAGGTGGAAAAGGCGTCAGGAAACCTTGGGGACCTGCTGCGCAAGCAGCTCCATGTACTTCTCGGGCGCCTCGGATTGCGCCATCGGCTGGACCTCGACGGGCGCCTGCGCCAGCGCCTCGGCGTTGAGTGCAGGCAGAAGTGGCTGAGGCTGGTACTCCTGAGGGGCAACTTGCTGCAATGTGCTCTGGAGCTCTAGCTTGTAGGCGTCGATCTCGACCTTGGCTGTGGCCACGTTCTCACGTGTGGCCGTCAACGCTTCTTGTGCCGCCAGCGCTGCAGGCTGCTGTGCCTCAACTTCACCTTCGAGCTTGGACAGCCGCTGCTGCGCCTTCGTGAGCTTGTGGCCCAGCGTGGTGTGGCGGGTGAACACGGGCTTGCGCTCGGTGATGAGCTTGCGCACCTGGGCCACCTCGGACTCGAGGGCGGACCGGCCTGAGCACCCAGGTACTTTCTTGATGACCACCAGCGCCTCCTCCAGCGCATCAGCAAGTGCTCGAAGTTTCCCATCATAACCTCCTGCATCTTCGCCCTCGGCGGCACCAGGACTGGCCGACTGGGACTGGGGGGCGGCGCCACGACCCCCTGCGAGAGGACCGCCGGCTCCCTTGCCACCTCCACTGACCTTCGTGAGCTGCTCGAGCTGCTTGGCGAGCTGGGCGACCTGCTTCTCCAGCTTGGGCGAGGAAGAGGATCCAGCAGGAGGGCCATGTGCCCGCTTGCCACCAGCACGAGGAACGCGAAAAGGACCTTCACCACCTTGTGATGCGTGTGCCGCCGCCGTCTTGGCACGCTGCACGATGCTCTGGGGAGCCGCTCTGCCGCAGGCGCACCGGACACGGCACGCCCAATGTTGGTTCCTCCTGCGAGAGGGGCAGCCCCAGGCCGGCAGGCGCGGGCCCGCCAGGACAGCGCAATCGCCCTGGGACGTGCGGTTGGCCAGACCCCTGCCTGGCCGCACGGCGAGCTCTGTAGGATTAGGTCCCTCAGCCTGGATCGGGAGCCAGGAGTCACTCGCGGCAGCGATCATCATTCTGAAGCCGGCTGTTGCAAGCCCAGGGAACGCCTGGGCCAGAGCGACTGAGGAGGAGGAGGAGGAGGAGGAGGAGGAGGAGGAGGAGGAGGAGGAGGAGAAAGAGGAGGAGGAGGGAGAGGAGGAGCAGGAGGAGAAGGAGGAGGAAGAGGAGGAGGAGGAGGAGGAGGAAGAGGAGGAGGAAGAAGACGAGGAACGTGAGGAGAAACGGGAGGAGCAACGTAAAGGGGAGGAAAAGGACGAGGACGGCGACGGTGGCGGCGACGGCGTGGGCGGAGGAGCTTTGGGGCCGCCCACGAGCGCCGGGAGATAGCCAGATCGCCACGGCCGCCACCAGGAGGGCCACCACGTTGGAGTCCAGCCCAACTGGGAGGGCGCGTCAACTGTCCACCGACATCGGCCGAGGATCGATATAGAGAATCGCGGTTTTCATTTCGAAGGCTTTTGGGTATTTCTGTAGGTTCTCGCCGCCACGGCTGGGCGCAATTCGAAAAACTGGGCACGATATACGTACCGTGGCACAAGTCCAAAAGTCTATTTCCCCCCAACGTGCTTGCACTTAGGGGTTCTTGCGTTCTTGCTCACCATGCCCCTAAGGAATTGGATGGGTCCGGTGAAGTTTTTCCCAGGCAGGGCGTGGGCCCAAGGTTATCTTCTAGCAGCTTACACCCGGAATCGACGGGCGTAGCGCTGGTACAATTTTGTACGATAAGAAACGAAACCGCGTAGGGCCGGCGGAATTGAATTTTGAGGATGTCCCTAGCAAAACGCTTGGTTTGCATAATGTGTTGAGGATGTCTCGAGCGAAACGTTCGTTTTGTGCTATAGAGCGTTCCTCTCCTGGGGATCAGAATTCAGAAGATGTCTCAGGTGAAATGCTTCTTTTCACGTGCCCAGGTCGGTCTTGAGGATGTCTCGAGCGAGACGCTTTGAGGATGTCTCGCGCGAAACGCTTGTTTTGCAGAACTCGAGCGGCCTTGGCGCCCCAGGATGCCCAGGTGGTTCTGGGAGTCCGAGCGCAGCGTAATTTCCTAAGGAACGTGGCCCTGGGAACGTGGACGCAGCGTAACTCACGAGGGAGCGCAGCCCTGGGAGCGTGGACGCAGCATAGTTGACGAAGGACCGTGGCCCTGGCACGGTCCCTGGCATGTTCCGTGGCGCGTCCCGTGGCGAGTCCCCCTGGAACGTCGCTCGGCGCGTCCCCTGGCACGTCCCGTGGCACGTCCATTGGCAAGTTCTGTAGCGCGTCCCCTTGGCACGTCCCGCGGTGCGTCCCCATGGCACGTCACCTGGCACGTCGCCTGGCGCGTCCCTTGGGACGTTCCACGGCGCGTCCCCATGGCATGTCCCCCTGTAAATTGGCTCTGGGGCAACAATTATGTGCCCAGGCAGCTCGAGCTTAAGATCAAGATCAGCTCGGTCAGGATTCGGATGCAAAGGAGGACTCGGCCTACAACGCTATAGGACACAATCGCGGCATGGCACATCGCAGCCCAGCACGGCGCAGCACAGCAGAGCCCTCGGCACGGTACATCAAGATCGATGTACTCAGCATCGCACTTGCCCCTCGCCCAATCAGGTGTCTTTGAAAACGCTGCCATGCCTTACATTTCTAGATTCCTTTCAGGGTTCGTGGAACGACCATGTCCACGTTGCCGCCCGTGGCCGCGTCGTGTCCGTGTCGTGTGCTGGGTGGGTCCAGCTGAGTTTCGCCACGCTGTCGCCCGCGGCCGCCTCGTGGCCGCCTCGTGCGCTGGGTGGGTCCAGCAAGGTTTTGGCATGTTGTCATCCGTTGCCGCCTCGTGGCCGCCTCTGTGCGCTGGGTGGATCCAGTGTGGTTTCGCTATGCTGCCGCCCATGGCCGCCTCGTGGCCGCCTCGTGCGTTGGGTGCGTCCGGCGAGGTCTCGCCTCATTGTCGTCCGTTGCCGCCTCGTGGCCGCCTCTGTGCGCTGGGTGGATCCAGTGTGGTTTCGCTATGTTGCCGCCCATGGCCGCCTCGTGGCCGCCTCGTGCGCTGGGTGGATCCAACGTGGTTTCGCTATGCTGCCGCCCGTGGCCGCCTCGTGGCCGCCTCGTGCGTTGGGAGCATTCGGCGAGGTTTCGCCTCCTTGTCGTCCGTGGCCGCCTCGTGGCCGCCTCTGTGCGCTGGGTGCGTCCGGCGAGGTGTCGCCCCTTTGCCGCCCGTGGCCGCTTCGTTGCCGCCTCTGGCTTGTACCACGTTGGACGCCCGAGTTATCCGGGGTAACTCGGGTCCGGGGTAACTCGGGTTTGGGTTCCCGAAAAAGGAACCCGAGTTAGCCCTGACCCGAGTTACCCCTGATGATTCGGGGCTCTGGACGCCCGAAATATCCGGGGTAACTCGGGTCCGGGATAACTCGGGTTTGGGTTCCCGAAAAAGGAACCCGAGTTAGCCCTGACCCGAGTTACCCCTGATGATTCGGGGCTCTGACCACGTGTATTCTTTCTTCAAGAAAAATCCGCCGACCCTGTCGGCGTGTGTGAAGGGCTTGTGCGTTCAAGTCGTCGTCTCCGTCAATCATTGGTCGTCGTCTCTGTCGTCCCCTTTCCCTGCCTCCCCGTTTCCTTGGGCTCGTCGAAGCTCACCCCTTTTCCAGGGACCTCCTTCCCTTCGATCCCTTCCCCGCTGGGGGGGGGGGGTCCCGGGGGGGGGGGGTCAGATACGACGCCCCCCCGGGGAGTCCTGGAGCCCCAAAAAGCCCCAAGACGGGCCAAGAGTGCCCAAAGAGGCCCCAAAGACAGTACAAGAGAACCCCGAATCGCCGAACGATGTGTCCAAGACGCCCAAGACGGCCCAAGAGGCCTGCAAAGCGCCCCAAGAGGCCTCCAGGAGCTTCCCGACGAGAGCCCCAAGAGGCAAAACTCATAGATTTCCCATACGTTTTTTTTTTTTTTGATATTTATTTATTTATTTATATATATATATATATAATATTTTTGGCGTTATTGCCTCTTCCGCTTCCCTACGCGCCAAGACGGCCCAAGAGGCCCCAAAGATCGCCCCGAGATGGCCCAAGAGGCCCCCAAGAGGGCCCCCTAACGGCCGAAGAGGGCCCCAAGACGGCCCAAGACGCCTCCAAGACGGCCCAAGAGGCCCCCAAGATTGCCCCGAGACAGCCCAGGAGAGCCCCAAATTGCCCATGAAGCCTCCAAGAGTGCCTCGAGACGGCGCAAGAGGAGCCCTGGACGGCCCAAGACGGCCTCAAGAGAGCCCCAGGCTATCCCAAGAAAGCCTCTGGCCTCCTCCTCTTCCTCCTCCTCCTCCTCCTCCTCCTCCTCCTCCTCCTCCTCCTCCCCCTCGGCTCCCCCTCCTCCTGCTCTCCCCTCTGCCTCCTTCTCCTCCTCTTGCTTCTCCTCCACAGCCTTCTCCCCCCTCCTCCTCCCTCAGGCACCTCCCCCATCCTTCCTCCACCTCCCACTCATCCTCCTCCCCCTGCCCCCCTCGTTTTCATCTTCGTCGTTCTCAGTGTCGGCGGCACTGGCCGTAAGGCCTTCGCAATAGAAAAAGACTCTAGCCACTTCCCCCCGAGGGTTATCTATTCCCCCAGGAACACTGCAACTTACACACGAATATGCCCCATCGTTCATTTGAGATTTGACATCGTAAAATTCAGCCAGTCCGGTACCGCACCCCCCATCCCTGTCAAATGTATGTATGTGTATATATATATATATATATATATATATGTATATCTCTATATATACATATATATACATATACATATATACATATACAGATTCCTCTTCCTATCTTTGTATCAGCCCGGGCGGGGGGAAAACCCGTCCCCCCCCCCCAAAACCGGACTCCCGGGACCTGGGGCTTTGGGGCCCTCCGGACGGGCTTTGAAGCGGCCACCGGGCCTCGCAAGGCGTTTTGTAAAGCCTTCCCAGCACACTTAGGGCGATCAGGGGGGTCATCGGAGACGTCCCAGAGACCCCCAAGACAGCACAAGAGCGCTCCAGGAGTGACCGACGTGACCTCAAGATGGCCCAAGAGGCCTCCAGGACGGCCCCAAACAGGCCTCCAAGAGCACTCCCAAGAAGGCCCCCCGAGGCAAAAATCATTGATTTTCTGTGGGTTTTTGGTGAATTGTGGGGTTCTCCTCTTTTCGGCTTCCCGACGCTCCAAGACGGCGGTCTTCTGGGCGTCCGAAGCCGCCTGGGAGGTTCCCAAATCGCCCCAAAACGGCACAACACGGGTCCAAGATGGCCCTCAGAGAGCCCCATGGCGGCCCAAGATGGCCCACAGACACCCTCCGAAGAATTCCAAATCGTGATTCGGTCGTTCAGGGAGACGGCGGTTGGAGGCAGGGTGGCCCGAGGAAACCCCCGGAGGCCCCCAGAATACGCCCAGGAGGCCTCCAGAAGGCCTTAAGAAAGCCCGAAACAACTTTTGTGAGGCCCCTAGAGGCTCTCCAAGGAGGAGCCTCCGCAAAAAAGAGCTGAGGAGGATGGGGAGAATGCGCAGGGTATGGCGAACATAAGGAACAATAACCATGGAGGAAGGATAACGAATAACATCATTATAGCGGCGATGCAGGAAAAAGGCAACCAGGAGTTATCGCTAACTTGTCGGCTTGACCTTCCTGCCATTCCGCCTGCATGCCAAACTTCAAGGACCAAGGTGCATGGCGCGAAGCGCCACTGCAGTCTTGTGTGTATATGTATATATACGCGTTCACTTATGTCAACGAATCATGTTGCGTGGGCCCTTTGGATCGACATTCAACAACGTCCACACACGCGCGTACATGTCAAAGTCCCACCACATGCATTATGTTTGCAAGCGCTTCGGTTTTCCAGCAACTATTGCAGGTCCCTGCCCGCGCGCATTCACAGAAATCGCAAGACAACCATATGATGCCAACGTTTTCGCTCGGAACCGGCATTCTCATCTCACCACGCGGTATATCGGCGCTGATACAGCATGCGCGCCGTGTACGATTCCGAATGACATAACACCAGGCGCGCCACAGGTACGCGCCGCCACGCGCGCGAGTCGAATCCTGTTCGAAACCATTGGCTTTCGAAGCGTTGCAACATAACAAGCTTTGACACATTGATTGGATTTCTGCGCGCGCATACTCAATATCACCCCCATCAACGCTGTCGCATCACCGCCGTCATCGTCATCGCCAATCGCCGCGCTTGCCGCCATCACCAGCGCAATCACATTCATCACCGGCATATTACATCGTCATCGTCGTCGTCACCTGCATCGGCGCCGTATTTGGCCTTGCCGTCGTCATCGTTATCATCGCCACCACCATCGCTACATCATCATTGTGGCCGCCGGTGTCGGCGTCATCCTGGTACCGCACCCGCTCGAGAGACCGACCCGCACGGACGTGCCCGCGCGGCGGTCTTTGAGACGCGCTTGCGAGTTCCCATCGGTAAGCGCTATCGCGATCGCGTCAGTTGTGCTAGAGCAGCCGGTCGCCCCGCGCGCGACCGTTCGCGCGCCAGCGCGGCCGCACGGCTGCGCTGGCAAGCGCTATGTCGTCAACCGCAGTCGTGGGCGCATGGGTTTTGCAGAAGACGTTGCGGTCGCGCGAGCGCTGGAATTGACAACTCATGAGTTCACACAGGAGATCTGCACCACCAAGCTTACACCACGTAGCTGGCACCACGTAGCTCGTGCATCCATAACGCGTTCCCAGCCAGCCAGCCTTCTGGGCGCGAGTGGCTTGGAGTGCTTCCTCTTCCTTCGTCCCCGTCTTTCCTTGCTAGTATTCACACCCTCCCTTACCCAACAGGGGACAAA